TAGGCGTGTACACTGCCCAGCTTCTACTGAGCTCTAAGGAAGTGGACTCAGAGGAGTTTAAGCCGGGAAGAATGACCTGAAGAAGTCATCCAGGGCCAGATCATGAGGGTTGCCACAAGTTTAGAGAGAGGCAGCCTTGGAAGGGAAGGCTTTGCTGAGAGTTTTGAGAGTTGGAAAGATCACTCTGGCCATGGCTGGAGAGGGCAGTTAAGGAGGCTGCTATAGTACCCCAGGGCAAGGATCTAGGTCTGAACTAAGATATCATGCTGGGCAGTACTTCCTGACTGAGAGGTCTTGTGTGCTGTCCACAGCACRTACCATTTTAGGGAATGTTTTGTTTCAGCATGCCCCTCTCCTTCCAGGCTGCAGATTTCATGCACCATAAACTCCCAGTCACAGCCTGTGACCCACCAGGGTGCTGCATGTGGGGTTGCTCAGTACCTTAAATCCTTTGCATGCTGTTTCATTTATGTGCAGAGGGTTTATGTTAGTACTCTGTTGTCTGTTTATCTTAATTCACAAAATTATGTTACAAAGAGTATAAGGGGAAGGCATAGGGCTTTGTTAAATTATTATTTTTTTTTTTGGAATTGGGGGGCACCAGGGATTGAACTTAGGAGCACTGGACCACTGAGCCACATCCCCAGCCCTATTTTGTATTTAGAGACAGCACCTCACTTTTGCTGAGACTGGCTTTGAACTCGAGTTCCTCCTACCTCAGTTTCCCCAGCTGCTGGGATTGTAGGCGTGCCATCACGCCTGGCTGTGTAATTAGTTTTGATAGGTCCTTTTAAAAATGTCTCTGTGGGGCTGGGGATATAGCTCAGTTGGTAGAGTGCTTGCCTAGCATGCATAAGGCCTTGGGTTCAATCCCTAGCACCACCCCTCCAAAAAAGAGGTATCTTTGGTTCAGAGTCATTCCTTTTGTACAAATGGGAGAAAATTAAATAAGCATTGTTTTCCCCTACATCAGATGTAGATAAATATGCTAAATAACTTTTAGGAAATTCTAAGAATCACTTGTGTCTCTAAAGTTTTCTTTGACATTCTTCAGAGTAAAAGGGCGAATTTGTTGCCAGTTTTGAGAAAAAGGAAGAAGAAAGTTTATTGCTTTGCTAGCAAAGGAGAAACAGAGGACTCCTGTCCCAAAGGCTCTGATACTGCCCATCCTCAGGAACAGGGGCCTTTTTATTGTGCTTCAGAGAAAATGAAATTAGGTAGGAGAGATCAGGGAGGAGATCAGGAAGAAGACTGGGAAAAAGAAAAAAAAATCTAAGTTTCAAAGGATCAAGTGAACCCTTGTTACAAAATGAGGTTAAAATGATCCTCAAAAATAAAACAATAGAAGCCAGGAGCAGTGGTGCACACCTGTAATTGCAGCAGCTCTGGAGGCTGAGGCAGGAGGATTGCAAGTTCCAAGCCAGCCTCAGCAATTTAGTGAGGCCGTCTTTAATAAAAAGGACTGGGGATGTGGTTCATTGGATAAGCACCCCTGGGTTCAATCCCTAATACCAAAAGAAAAAATAAATAAGGCTGGGGATGTAGTGGTAGAACACTTGCTAGAATGCTTGACACCTTAAGTTCAATCCTCAGCACCACAATACTTGATTAATTAATTAGAAAGAATTTTTGAGGGCTGGGTTTGTGGCTAAGTGGTAGAGTGCTTGCCTAGCATGCTTGAGGCACTGAGTTCAATCCCCAGCACCACATACAAATAAAACAAATGAAGTGAAGGTGTTTTTGTTTTTTGTTTGTTTGTTTTTTAAGGAGTATATTTTTAAAATACATAGAATTTTTGAGCCAGGCACAGTTGTTGGCGCCTGTAATCCCAGTGSCTCAGGAGGCTGAGACAGGAAGATTGTGAGTTTGAAGCCAGCCTCAGCAAAAAACAAGATGCTAAGCAACTCAGTGAAACCCTGTCTCTAAATAAAATACAAAGTAGGGCTGGGGATGTGGCCCTAACCCCAGTACACACAAAAAAAGAATTTTTGTTTTGGTTTTAGGTACTGGGGATGGAACTCTGGCCAGCCCTCTTTGCTTTTTGAGACAGTCTCACCAAATTGTTTAAGGCCTTGCTAAATTGCTGAGGCTGGCCTCAAACTTGGGATCATCCTGCCTCAGCGTCTCAAAATGCTAGGATTACAGGCATGTGCCACCATCCCCAGCTAGAATTTTTAAAAAAAAGAAGAAAGAAAAAGTAGATAAGCTGAATGAATGGTTTCGTAGAAATAGGTAATATTGTTGCTAAAAGTTTAGTTCTTGTTCCTGATGCCAATCCAATAAGGAGGACATGGTTTTGAAAAGAAAAAAGTTATATTGCTTTGTTAGCAAAGGACAAACCCAGAGGACTCCTGTTCTAAAGGTTGTGATTCTGTCCATCTGG